AAATATTGTATGCAGCTAGTCCTTTTCTACTTCATTGTTCTGATCATATCACATTTCTAATCAGTCTACTCTACTAAATGCATTTTTAGAAAAGGAAGTTATAAATCCAGAAAAAAAAAATTAAGTATATTTTTCTAGAACCCTCTATAAAAAAATCTATTCTGTGAATAGAAAACAAGCTCAAAACCAGGTCTACTGATATTAAGTTTAGGTTATTAATAACTATTACCAATAATTATTAATGTATGTTTCGAGGGATAGATTGAGCAATCCTACACATTCTATTCCATTTCAGTGAATTATAATGTAGCGATTAAAAAACTCATAATTTAATTTCATCCTTTCAAGATGCATGTGTGAGAAACATTTCATTCATCACAAGAAGCTTACTTTTACATTTCTTTCATGATATCCGAAGGAACTACTCTGAAATCATGGAGTTCTTATGATTTCTGTCCACAATAGCTATGGGCTAAAACCAAGTCAGTTACTAGGGGAAAAGTACTATTTCCTGTTGGCAGAATTTCTTCTCAACAAGGTAGGTAATATTCAGCATCTCAAGAGACACCAGCACTAAGTGCAACTATGAGCAACCATCTGAGACTCTGGTTTACAATCAGTCGCAGATTGCATTCTTGGCTATATGACAGCACAGGGAAACGTAAAACACTGAAGTCTATATTCAAAAATGACTAAAGCTGGGAGACGAGGGCAGCAGTAGTAGAAATTAATGTCTCAGACACCTAAGTACTATAGAGGTAATCCCCAATTTTACCTGTGAAGTTGATATTATTATTGTTGTTGTTATTATTATTATTATTCTCATTTACCAATGAGAAAATTGAAGTTGAGAGAATTTCATATAGTTTTCTGAGAAAGCAATGTAACCCTCACACTATTCGGCATGCCATTTAAATTTTTCCTCTAATTCTTATTTTCTCAACTTCTAAGGTTTATCTTTATTGTTATTCACATATATATATGTATATTCTATATTTGTAGTAAATGTTTAGAATTGAATCGATAGATTGAAGCACTGCAGTTGTCATGCCACGATAAATCCATTTCAAGACCTACCCAGAAATGTTGTGTGAAGATAGAAGTGGAAGGAAAACAGCGTGGGGTGGGAAGGAGGAGGGGACTATAGAGATGGAGACATTTCTTCTCTAAACAGTCTGACAAAGAGCCAGCCGAGATGAATCCAGCCTCTATTCCTCATGACATATAAATAATTGCATGTCTCCCGTGTCTTCGCTAACATGTGTCCCCAGTGCATGTCCCACCCTTTGGCCACCTTCACTACTCGCGGTGGCAACCATCATTTTTCTCATACCTCATACTTTTATTTCCATTCAGTCACACACCCGAGTAACATACAATCTAAGTTTTAAAAAACCACACAAACTGCTATACAAGTAAAGCTGCAGGCAAATCACTCCGATCTCTCCATCCAACATCCTCACTGTGCACCCCCCATCTGTAGAAAATCTGGAGGTGCCATAACCTTCACAAATTTTCTATTACTAAAAGGCAAAACAAGCATTTTAAACATCAAGCTTTTATTCAAACTCTTATTGTAATCACTAAATATAACTAAAATATCTATTCCACAAGTAACAACTACCTTTTCAAAACTTCTTCAGAGGAGGTTAATATATTTTTCTCAGCTCAGGGGTTTAGAAGAGTCAGCACCCCCTCTCTGCCCAGCCGCATGTCTAGATCTTTGTCTATAACTGTTCCCCAGAACCATTCTCTCTTCTGAAATTTATGACATTAATTAATTTCTGCTTCCTATTGAAGTCCTCCTCGATACCCTCCTGTAAAAAAATTTTTCCTTCTTATATCTTATGCTACTTAATTTTTATAGGCAAACAACACATTCATAAATGGATAGGATATATTTATACGGCAAACTCCTACAATCTAAACCCCAATCGCCAATTGCTAGTCAGAAGGCCAATTGCTAATACTGGAGCTAAGGAAGTGGAGGAAAAGGGAGAACATTTGAGAATATGACCCAAAAAAATGACTATACAATCATGTCTTTGGAGTAATGGGAGGAAAGTTTTTCGAGCACATCCGGCACTGAAAACCTAGTCCAACAAAATATACACACTATTTTCAACAGTAAACCCCAGAGTGTTCAAAATATAAACAAAAAATTTTAAGTAATTAACATTGTCTTCTGTTAGAAAAAGCCACCAGCCCAGCAGAGAATGAAAAGAAACATGCTCTCAGGATTAAGAAACATCTCACCCCTCAGTGACCCCTTTCCTATCCAGGCAGGTATGGTTTGATAAATATGTGAATAGCCCCAAGTAAGACTTCTGACTCACTGAGGTTTTCTGCCTTGGTAGATAATTTTCAGATTTAGAATAGCCACATATTTCTATAACTGTATATCATGAGTGCTTTGCACATAGTATGCTTGCAAAAAAAAAAAAAAAAAAGGTCTGCTTCATTTAAAAAGGGAATTTAATTACAAATACCATTCACATCACCAAGAGACAGGTTTGATAGCAAAAGACTAATTGTAAAGAATTTTTTGAAATCCGAATAAAGACAAGAACATATGTCTGAAATATCAGATACAGAATAAGTTTGAAAACCAATGAAACCAGGTGATGGTGACATGAAGGTTCATTAAACTAGTCTCTCTATTTTTGTGTATGTTTGAAAAATCCATAATCAAAAAGTCAAAAAATTAACATATAAGCAAATTTAGAAAAGCTCTCAGAATTCCTTACTCCTTAAATGACAATGACATGAGCTAAAACATAAGCATAGCATGTCTAATATCTGCATAGAACCTGAATGAATATAAATGAGTGGGACCAAAGCAAAACATAAAACAAGATTTTCTTTATTGAGGCCAGGTAAAGCCAACCTCTTCAAAGCATCAAATCAAAAGTTAGTTCATTAGGTTGAGGAAAGCAGGTGAGCATGGAACTACTCCTGACAATTGGTTCATAAAGAAGCAACAAGTGTAGGTGGTATACTCTGTGGTGCTCATTTCTTCTCTTTGCTTAATTCTATGCCAGTAAAATAGGGAGAGATAAGGATAAAATTTTCTGCCCAGTGTTCTCCACCCAGTTCCAATGCATTTGTCATGGCCTGCATCGTCACATACTTGCAATGTTATGAGCTCAGTGGCTCCTCCCTGAGTTTTGCAGGAAACAAATTAGCTTAATTTAAGACTATTCAAAAGGAGGGGAGGGGAGGGAAGGGAAGGGAAAGGAAAGGAGAAAGTGAGAAGAGAGAGAGAGGAGGAAGGAGGGAGGGAGGAAGAGAAAGGGAATGATCTCTTTTTAAAGATAAATTGATAACCAGAAAAGTAACTACGATTTATAAAATATTAACAAAACTTTTACAAGAAGTACAGGACCCATAGGTTAATGTTGCTTTCCTCTGATGATTAACCTATACCTTAAGGCAGAAATTACAAATCTGCATCTGATACCTCAAAAAATTTCCAAGATGAATATGTTTTACTTCTGTAGTGATAACAAGTATGTAGGAGAAGGACAGAGTATTACTAAAAATGTGTCGACTTAATCACACTGACAGAATGTTCTCCCTACAC